AACCTCGACAGTATCTTCTGGATGTAGCTCTTCTGTGACAAGAAAAGCTTCTTCTTCGACCTGTCCCTGTAAATCTCCATACCCAAGATCTTCTGAGCATCTCCCAAATCCTTCATCTCAAACTCAGCACTGAGAAGCCCCTTTAACTTCTGGATATCAAACTTTGACCTCGCAGCTATGAGCATATCATCCACATACAGAACTAGATATATCATCGAACCATCCTCTGCCTTGCTATATGGACTTCTGTTGTAGCCCAGCTCAAGCATGTAACTGTCAAATTTCTTGTACCACTGACTCGGAGATTGCTTAAGTCCATACAAGGACTTCTTCAGCTTACAAACATAGTCTTCTTTTCCCGGAACCTCGAATCCTTCTGGCTGAGTCATGTAAATTTCTTCTTCCAACTCTCCATGTAGGAAAGCTGTCTTCACGTCTAGCTGCTCGAGCTCCAAGTCATAATGTGCCACTATTGCTAGTAGCACTCTGATCGAAGTATGTCTGACCACTGGTGAGAAAATCTCATTGTAGTCAACTCCTTCCCTCTGCGAGAAGCCTCGTGCAACCACCCGAGCTTTAAATTTCATGCCCTCTTTAGAAGTGATTCCATCCTTCTTCTTGTAGATCCACTTGTTTGTAACAATCTTCCTTCCCTGTGGTCGTTTGACTAGCTCCCAAGTCTAATTCCTGTCATGGGATTCCATCTCATCTCCCATTGCGGCAAGCCACTGATCAACTTCACCACCCGAAACTGCTTCTCTATAGGACTGTGGCTCTCCTGCATCCACTTCCTCAGCAACCTGAAATGAATACGCCACCATGTCCTCGAAGCCATACCTCTGTGGAGGTACTCCTGCAGTCGCTCTCTTCGGTCTACCGGAAGCAATAGACTGTTGAGCTCGTGCACTGGACTCTGAAGTTTCTGGCTCTGCAGAGACATCCTCATCATGTTGATCTTCTCCACCTTGGTGCTCAAACTCACTTTCATTGAGAGTTTGCAGCTCCACCTGCTTATCAACATTCCTGCTACCTTCAGCAACAGTAACCTTCAACATGGGGTTAAACATAGACTTCTCATCAAATATCACATTTCTACTAAGTATAACTCGATGCTCAGAAGGTGACCAGACTCGAAATCCCTTAACTCCATCTCCGTAACCCACAAATACACCCTTCTTTGTCCTTGGGTTCAGTTTACCCTCATCCACGTGATAATAAACAGGACACCCAAAAACTTTCAGTGAAGAGTAATCAGCAGGCTTACCATACCACACTTCATAAGGAGTCTTACACTCGATACCTGTGTGTGGTCCACGGTTGATCAGGAAGCACACCATGTTTACTGCTTATGCCCAGAATCTTCTCTCTAGTCCAGCATTAGAGAGCATGCACCGTGCTCTCTCCAACAATGTCTGGTTCATCCTTTCTGCAACGCCATTCTGCTGGGGTGTATCTCTAACAGTCCGGTGACGGGCAATCCCTTCATCCTTGCAGAATTCGTTGAACTCAGAACTACAAAACTCCAGACCATTGTCCGTTCGCAGCTTCTTGATCTTCTTACCGGTCTGATTCTCCACCAATGTCTTCCACTGCTTGAACTTCTTGAAAGCCTCACTTTTCTGCTTCATCATGAAAATCCAAGTAAATCTCGAATAATCATCAATAATAGACAGAAAATATACCGGTCTGATACCACTTGTTATAAATGCGCTGCTACGGATCGGGAAATCACCGGAATCGACAAAGCAAGAATACGAAAGCGAGAATCGAAAACAAGACACACGATTTACGTGGTTCACTAACACGATGTGTGTTAGCTACGTCCACGGGCGAGAGAGAGCCAATTTCACTATATCAAGAAGATTACAGATTACAGAGGAGTATGAGAAGTATTTATAGCACTTCTCCATGTGGGTCTAAACCTAATCCAATCTGACAAAGGAAACGGTTACAGACCAGGCCCAGAACCCCCGATTACCAGTCGTAGCGGCTGATAATCCGATTCAAGTCATATCAACACCAATAATAGTAGTCAAAACTATTCTATTTCTCCACTTTTTGAACTATATGGTGAGACTGTAGTGCAGTTCGAAAATATGACGAATATTTGATACTATAAGAAACAATATTTTTCCAAGTAAAAATAGTACGCGGGTCATACTGATGTCCCGCAATCCACCCACATAAGTGCGGGTGAGAGATTTAACAATCCGCAATCCATCCACATCAATCACCCACTATGTGCGGGTCGGGTTATTTGCGGGTGGATCGATATCAATCCGCGAATTAACCACCCACGTGCCCACCCCTTATGAATTAATATGGGTCACGACAATTCAATCAAAATATAAAAACATTATTTATATAGATATAATTGTACACAATATCCACTATCACATTAACTACTTCAACCAAATTCACACGTTTAATGCCGATATTCCCAGAAACGAGTTTATTTATGTGGGTGAAGGAGCGTAATCATGTTAGCAGGTGTGGCGCCACTGGGCGTTATCATCGGCATCATTATTCATCAGCATCCTCGTCCAAGTCAAGTCAAGTCCAGTCCAGTCCAGTGTTGGATTCTTCTACTCAACCTTTTTCGTAGGCAGCCCGCCCCGTGATTAGAGCCGAAACAAGCTAAGCAAATGCTACCAAAACTGCTCACTAGCTACTTCCTCCCCTCGTATTTTTCCCATCCCTACGCTACTACTATTCGGTCGATTAATACCAAGCAACATTTCTTATCTTTATACCGGCCGCCCGGCCCGTGTGTTATGGCGAAAAGATTCGTGGACGGATCGCCAAAGCTGCCCTTTTTTTTTTTTTTTTTTTTAATATTGGCTTCCTGCAGGCAGCCTGCTTTTTCTTCTTATTTGGCGTTGTTGGTTTTGCTTCGTTTGACTTTCTCCTCTTCTTCGTGCTGGATCGCCCGGCAGGATGGCACTTGGCTTCCCTTGCTGCCACTTAGTGTGAGTGTGTGTTTATATTCTGCGATCCTTGGGTTGGTTTGGCTTTCCAATCCGGGAATCGATTCCGTCAATTGGCATCTAGCTTATGGCCACTATTCTAATGTCGGCTTATAATTTAACCACACCTTTTGTCAATTATTAATTAAACGTTATTCAAATATACTCTTAAAAGTTCATCAATCTGACCAACAACTCACACTGAGATGATATATATATATATATGCCTTGATATAATGAGCGAACCTTTTTGTGTCATGTTTTTTTGAAAGGTTTCAAAAATCAAGCTAATAATACCACGTACATACCGGTAGAATAACTCACGGTCGGTTTTAATATATAAAGATATGTGATATATAAAATAAATAGAATAAGGAACTCACTTTTTTTCTTTTTGCCAAAATAGTTTCTTTTTCCCTTTATGACATGTTTACTGAGTCACATGAAGACCAACGACAAATTAAACATCACGGTTCAGAAGTACTAATGAAGTTATGAGCTGCAAGCGCGACATAAAATGCCTCTAGACAATCGGCTGATAATTAGCCTTTCTACATATATGAAATCTGAAGGCTTTTGAATGTGCGTGCTTTCGTGCATGATCATCACAAAAACCGTGTTGATGGTGTCGGGTTGAAATTGCCATCGCTCAGCATTGGCCTGCTCCTCCCATAATAGTCTAGGGCCGGCCACAACACAACTAACCCTATATCTTGCTAATTGCTACTGCACCCCTATCATTGGTGAATTGCATTTTCAATCACTATAAAATTTCACAAGTTAGCTTTAGTCCACCTTTGTTAGTGAACAGTTCTCACCATTTTTCTGGTAGAATCACGTTAAAAGTTCGGTGTATCAAAACGACCCGTGGCGGACGCAGGCTGCGTGAGCGAGTGACACTGCATCGCTAGCTAGCTCCATCGAATGTGTTCCAAATGCCTCTAGCTAAGCTTGCGCTGCTCTAAAAAATAATTGAATCACGTGCCGAATTAGGCCCAAAAAACGACGACGACGACGTACGGCGACACATGGATTTAAAAACCTCACCGCCGTCCGGTAAACATCACACTACACCCACCCAACTCTCCCATCCTTTCCTACCTAGCTAGCACGTATATACTTTTCGTGCGTACGTTATGCATGTACATAATACGCCATTTTCGCATGATTCATAGCCCACGTGGCCCAATAGCACCTTGACACAAAATAATCCCTGAAAAAAAGTGAAGACCTACTTGCTTAAGTAACGGCCACGTGTCACCCTAATCTCTACCCACAGTTCCAGTTCCTTCTCATCCACACAAACACTCGTCTCCCTTCTCCTTCCCGTCCCACATGTGTGTCCGAATCAGATTTTAATTTACATGTCGTGTTTGGCACAACCTCTTTCTGCCCAATTCTTGGTAAAAACCGACGTCGTTCAGCGACTCTCTACTCTATCTGCTGTCTAGTGGCCCGAAAAAAAAGAACAAAATTACTGTTTACTACCTCATATTATGCGGATTCCCCAATATTGGCCCCCGACACTTTGTGCGTGAGTCATGCTCCCGTTCGGCTGATCTCACTCCACCGGGCCACCTTCACGCGGTTGTTGCACCTCCGCACCACCCTCGCGACTCATTCCTCGCGTTGCGTCAGTTTGACGCTATTTTATTCGCCGCCCAACTTATACGCCGGCTCCCCCTTTGCGTGACTCAATAATAGGAAGTACTAAACTATTAATTAGATAGGTATTAATTCATAATTACTAATTACCAATAAGTACGAAAAATGTAAGGAGGTAATAAGTGTAATTATATATAAAAATCAATCCAATTTCCAATAGTAGAGTGTGAGCTCAGTGGTTTGAGCTGGTAATTGTATGTACATAAAAGAATTTCCAATCAAGAGGAAAAAAAAGAAATAAACGACGGGAATAATAGCGCATATATCGGAAAAAGAAAGAAAAGAAAGACACGTGAATTTGATGAATACTTATACTGTATTCCCTAAAGTAACCCTACAAAAAGCCCTAATTTTCACTGAAATAACACCCTACTGAGAGGCGACTTCTGGTTTGGGCCCCGCCGCTGATGCTGCAATCACCAGCCTGGGCTTCTTCGCAACCGGCAACGGGCTCATGACCTCGTCCTCGCCGCCGCCGCCGCCGCCGCCAGAGAAGAAGAAATCGCCGGCTGCGAACTCCGGAAGGGCCGGGAGGTTGAGGTCGATGAATCCCCGGTTGCTCGTCGTGGTCGTGGACCCCACCCCCTCGGAGACGGTAACGGTGGAGGAAGTAGCTACTCCGCTCTTCTCCGCCGCGTGGACGGCGGCGGCGCCGCCGTCGTAGTGGCACCGCTTGTGCCCGCCGAGCGCCTGCCCGGTCGGGAAGCTCTTGTGACAGATCGTGCAGACGTGGGACTTCCCGCCCCCCGTCACAGGGGCCGCCGCGGCGGCGGCGCTGGTCGTAGTAGTGGAAGTCGACGGACCATCGGCCGGATCCCCGGAGACCGATTTCCGGTGGCTCGCCTTGTGCCCGCCCAGGGCCTGGTAGGAGGAGAAAGCCTTCCCACAAACAGTACACTTGTGGGACAAAATCATCTTCTGCTCTGCTGTCGCCTCACCAGAAATTGCCGCCGCTGGCGGCGGAACAGGGGAGGCAGAGCGAGCAGGTTGGGGAGAGAAATCCAAATTGGTGGTGCCGCGAGCGAGCATGACGAGGCAGAGAGCGAGATACTCCTCCTCGGTGGGCTGCTGCTGCTGCTCGCCGTGACCCGCGGACCGCCTCGACCGCTTGCGCTTGGCCCACGGCTGATCCGCGAGGCGGTGGAGGTGTTTGGGTTCCTCAAATTGGAAAGGGGACGGCGCCCCGGCTGCCGTCGGCGAGTTCAGAGCTTCGAGTGCCATCTCTGGATTGAAGAATTCAAGTTGGGAATTCGCTACGGCTGGAGGTTGAATCTTGATTTTTTTTTTTTTTTTTTGGATTGTGAATTCTGGAGAGTGAAGAGTGAGTATGGAAGGGAAGGGTGAGTTTGGGGATTTATATAAAGGGAAGAGGGGGAAGTGAGGAAGTTGCGTGACAAGTGGTGAGAACTGAGAAAGTAAGAGGGGGGGAAAAGCCGAAAAGGGTAGTAATCCGGAAAAAATGCCTAACGAGGAAACCACGTTTATAGTTGGGGATATTAATTGCGTTCAGGGGTGTTTTGGGAATTTGAACAGTTTGGTAGTAATCCGTATTTATTGATAAAAAGGAATAAAGGGAGTGCGGGATTTGCTTGGCGGCCACGTAGGATAAGGAGGAGTAGAGTTTTCTTGGTGGCGAAGAGTGAAGTCGGTCAAAGTATGTGTGTAGGAAGGGAGTGAAGTGTGGATACTGTTAGCCCACTTGGCGAACAGTGGACGGGACTTAATTAAATGAATTAGGTCCATGGACCGGACTGCTTCCAAGAAACGCGGTCTCTCTTGGGCCTCTGGTAGGGTTTTGGCTCCTTTTAATCTAATCTGCAGCCGGCAGGTTAGATGCATCTCTCCTCTCACTTTCGTCTACCACTAATCAAGCTACAATTGTTCTTAATGCTGGGTAATTATGTTTGTAAACTAATTAGGACTAAGCAAGTAAGCAACGCGGAGTAGAAGAGATTTTTTTTTCCCGGACGGATAACTAATTAATTATGACGTGTGCGATGACGAGATTAATTAGGGTTCAGGGTTTTTCCAGAAAGGCGGTTGATGACATGCGGTAGAGTTGTAGTTCCAGATGAAATTGAGGTTTCTTGATTTGGTTGGATAACGGTTGAGAGGGGAAGAAGAAGAAGAAGAAGATGCGAGAAGCATCGAGGGGGTTACACGTGTGCCGCCGACTTTGAAGGCTGAATTGGGCCCGTTGAAAAAAAAAATGGCGGTCCAATAAAAGCCCAGAAAAGGGTTTTTGGTCACCGAAAATTCAATGGCCCAGACACGGCGGCACCTAGGTAATGCACTTTGGACAAATTCCGAACCAACGAGCAGTACAGTCTCCAAGTGTGAAACCCTGAACCCAGACATTTAGAATCGTAGTTTTAAGTGCATGAATCTCTAAGTCTCTGAATCAACAGTTATTAAACACTTGTTGTGGCTAGATTATTCATGGGGTCAACTTGAGAAATATCTTTTCCAATTAAGTGGTCAGCTTGAGAAATTCTAGATTGTTCAAAGACCAGTGGTACAACTACACATAATCAATTATTGATTTTTGGTGATTGGTGGTGTAATGGGTATGGGGCCATAAATGGGGAGGGGTGGAGATGAGAAAGGAACAAAGTGAGAGATGTGTTTGTGGTGAGAAAAATGAGAAATGAAGCAATGGTGGTAGTAAAATGGGCTTTAGAAAGTGGGCAGGGACTTGAATTGTTGGGAGATGTTCGATTACGGATCAGATATTTACTTATTAATTTCCTCAAATGAAAAGTACAGGTTTGAAATTTGCACGTGTTCAAATACAATGCGCCAAATAAATAAGATTATCGAGATTCAAACACAAAATTTCTACCTTATAGAAAATTCCGATACCTTGTCACGAACTAATTGGCCCTAAAAACTCGAGAAAGCTCTATTATAGAACACACTCTCCACTCCTCACTCCTCTATCTAAAACTCCACAACTTTGTGACATAATGCTAATAATATCCCCTGTTCCATTAGCTACTCTCTACTCTGGCTTTTGTTTCATTTCTGTGGCGGTGTGGAATTTCTGCTTGCCATTGCCAGAGAATCTGCCACGCGGCCCATTTCCTGCCGACATATATGGGTTGGGGTGGTGACTTTTACAAGAAAACACACATGTTCGATCGTGAAGGAGCCAGTACACCACAAAAGCAAGCTTGGTATAATAAAGGTGAGTTTTGCTGCCATTAGAGTCGAAGCTGGAGCTGAAAGTCGGTAACCACACACATGTTAGTGGTTACACCCTCCACCTTCCTTGTGTGGGTTTTGGCTGTATGTATGTATGTAGTACTAATTAATCTCTTTGAGGCCATTTTTCAACGTCGACTTGTTGTATGGGCAATGGCAATTGGGTAGATATTTAACGTTTTTGATGCCCACGCAAGGCGACGTTTCTTTCTTTCATTCTTTCTTTCTGTTTTGGTAAAGGGTAATTGGGTGGGGAAAAAAAAAGGATAAGCATCAAAATCGAACACACAGGGAGAAATGGAAGCGTCGACGAATGTACAAGTCGGCCACAAGTGACGAGGCTAAGGCATTAAAACAAACAGGGCTGAAAAGGGGACTTGTCATCGCTTACATAATCCATTCAGGTGACGAAAATGACCCCCAAGATATACAATGGGTTTTCTTTTCTTTTCTCCTTTCCCAATCATTTACACGCACGCATCGGTTAACTCGTTGGTAATTAATTATATGAGTAATTAGCTACTTGATTTATATATACTTTTTTTTTTGCCTTTGTATCATTTTCAACATGCTCTTTTCTATATTGTAATTCATGTTTCCATTTCTAAGGGAAGGACAGTCATTAATTAGAGATGTGATTAGGAACTTCGTAACTCTTTTATCTAATGATACAAAGGGGATGAGCTGATCACATCAGAGTCTCTTTCATGAATGGTTATCGACTAATGTTTTTCGCGTTAGTGACGAGCAATACCTTCTAGTCGAATAACTTAATTGGAGAAAACATATGGTTTCGAATCGTTTTTTTTCTTCTTCTTCTTCTGTTAATGCAAGCTATACTAAAGTATGAGCCATACTATGTTTGACTAATATTCTTGCTAGAATGCGTAAAACGTTAAGTAACGTTGTATTAAGATAGTGAAGAATTTTGAATGCAGAGTTACAAAAAGTTTTGTTACCCCAATCAAGGGCGGACATTCATTAAAATAATAAAATGCATGCAAGGGTTTGACCAAATATATTTTGACTTTTAAGTGGCCAGTCAATTCTTGAACGCCTTCCAATCGGCGTTTGGGCACAAAAAAAAACCGAGGTCGGCCCACTATCCTCCTGAAAATTATTGCCCATGTAGAAAGTGGGCTCTATTCCCAAACCCTTTTTGGGTTTACAAAGCCCATAAGACTCATGACAAACAAAACAAGTGGTGACACGACTGGGCCTTAAGCCCAAACTCTTGAGTTTCCTTTCCGCCCTGTGACGTTATCCAAAATATAAATATATATACCGCTGTCGCGCTACAATTAAATATGAAAATGTTCAGCTACTGACCTTGAATGACTCCGATGACAATGATTGATCCATAAATATTTTTGGGTTTCTCCCTTGTTCGAGAAAGTGATCGAGTGCCGGTCAATCGGAGTGGATTGCAACGACGGTCGGAGTGTCTCCGGCCGGTTTTTCTCTCAGTAGGTGAGCTGTATTAACCTAACACAAGCAGAGCATTCATCTGATTGGTATTGGTATCCAATTCCTGCCAAATCACTGCATTTTCTAAAGATGCTTCTAACATTCAGCATCGCCAATTCTTTGTATATGCTGCTGAAACAGGTGACAGGTAGGACGTGAGAGAAGGGAATATCCTTTTACTGGGTCTCTAGAAGGGGATAAGGAACTTTCTTTCATGCTTGGTCAAGTTCATCATAAGAGTAGATGTATAACAAAAAGAATAACAAAGAGACCAAATAACAAGTCAAATAGTCTGAAGATGTTGGGACTTTGGCCCTGCCTGTTCTAGAGCCTAAGAAATGTACTCTTTTGCCGAATGTTAATTGGACACTGAGCATTTGAGTTATGTGTTAATTGAATTATTTGTATTAGAATTTCAATATTGTTTAGTGTGCATAGTTGAGATATAATGCGTTTCCGTTCTACCATTTCGGTATCAATTTAGTATACTCCCACTAGCAATCATCTCCTTTTATGAATTTAAATTGGTACCATTCTCTCTCTGTAGCTTGGCTATAAGGAGATGATGGGCCTTTAAAGCAAGCAATCCAACATACACGATGATGTCTCGAGGTAAATTGTCTTTCATAGATGATCCCTTTGCACGTCTTGCTATTTCCAACTCTCATAAAAAGTAGAATAGTGGACCTAAGTCGTTAATTTTACGAGCAACATCTCACTTCCTTTTGATAGTGTTATGCCAATTTAGACATCTCCGATATGAATTAGCAAAAAACACTATCGTGATCAAACCGTAGTTCATCGTTTACTATTACTAAAAACCACCTATAGATTTAACTTAGACTTAAATATTTTTTTTCCCGATCGGATCGTTGATACGGTTGCACAAAGACGGGATTCAACCTAACAAGAATGACATAAGCTTGAGAAAGCCACCCACTTTCTTCCTTCTCTAAACGCCACCACCTTCTAAATTTCCTCCATTCGCCCTCCGGGCCCTACTATAACTATGATCCACGCTCCTTCCCTCCTCCGCCGTCCCTTCTTCTCCTCCTCCTCTCCTCCGCCGCCGCCCGCCGCTTCCTGCATCCTCCCTCCTCCTCCGCTTCTCCGCCCTCACGTCATTTCCAGCCTCGCCAGAACTCCAATCTCTCTCCGCTGCTCCGGTAAAGATCCTCCCTCCCTCTCGCCGCCGCCATTTCATTTTGCATTCTATAGGAGGAGGGCAATTTGGGTATTTAAGTTGGTCAATTTCCCAGCTGAAGCGTGGGCCGTTTGATTCTATTACGCGTCTATATGCTATTTGCTCCGCCGCCCTTTCTTCTTTTACTCTTTTTCTCCGTCGCCTCCGCTTTCTACTTCTTCTTCACTCCTTTGCCCTCTACTGACTCTGGTCTGTGAGCAGCCGCCGACTCACGGTCGCCGTCGAATCGAGAAATGGCCGCACAGCAGGATCCCCGCCTCGCCGGAATCGCTTCCGCGATTCGAGTCATCCCTGACTTCCCCAAAGCAGGTAGCTACATAACCTAGTTTTTCCCCTTCTTATTCCTCTGCATCTCCGTTGACTTAACGACTGATTTTTATTTTTCCTGGTGAAGGGATTATGTTTCAGGATATAACGACGCTGCTTCTCGACGTGAAGGCGTTCAGGGACACCATCGATTTGTTCGTCGACCGGTACAAGGATAAAGGCATCTCCGTCGTCGCTGGTAACTTTGAATTCTCTCCCGTCGACTTGATCTCGCGTTTTTTTCCCCATGTGTATAGGGTGATTTTAGCTTGCATTCATTGCAGTAGCTCGAGAACTGCTTCTCACCATCTGACCTAGAAACCTAGAAAAATTCTCTGGAATTGTAGATAGAAGCTGTTAAGATGCTTTAGATCGGTGCTGTACACTTTTCTTTTGGCCTGGAGTTTTTTACTCCCTTGAAAAAACCATCGCAGTCCCGGGTTAATTAGCAAATTGGGAGTTTCTAATGAGTAACTTGGTGGGAATGTCGGTGTAGACTTTGCCTGTAGGAACTCAGCAGCAAGTTGAAAAAACCTTCAATCTGTGGTTGCTAGGCGGATATTGAGAAACTATGCTAATACAGAACTGAAATTTGATTGCTTCTTGCCCTGTTTCCCCATCAATTGGTCATATCTCGTCTCAACTAGCCCTAAAGATCCTCCTCTTTAGACTCTGGAGATCGAGAATAGCCGATGGTGTAACCTAGTTTTGAATACTTGGGTTGGTATCTTAGTCATTTTAGCTTATCTGTCTAGTGGTTTGATGAAATTAATCAAGATTGTGCCTCACAGTGTATATTACACGGTGCAGGTATTGAAGCAAGGGGTTTCATATTTGGCCCTCCCATTGCATTGGCTATTGGCGCGAAGTTTGTCCCGTTGAGGAAGCCCAAGAAGCTACCTGGTAAAGTTTGCGGCTTTTCCTTGATCTACTGTGTGCAATTGTGCAAGCTCTGTACCGTAGTACCATTAGCGAAGTTTAAACTGATACCCTATTGCTCCCTGGGATTGATACTGAATCATTTTACAGGGGAGGTTATATCGGAAGAGTACTCCCTCGAATACGGAACAGACAAGATAGAAATGCATGTAGGTGCTGTAGAAGCTGGTGAACGTGCGCTGATAGTTGATGATCTCATTGCAACTGGTGGTACCTTGAATGCTGCAATCAGGCTTCTAGGTATGTGCTAAGTCTGCGTGAAATCTATGGAGCTCCTGCATCTTAGCTTCATCAGTGTGTATAATTGACATTCTATCTGTCGCACAAAATGACGTCAATCTTGGCATCCCATATATGGGGTTTGTTTTCACTGCAGAGCGTGTTGGCGTTGAAGTTTATGAGTGCGCTTGTCTCATGGAGCTGCCTGAGCTGAAGGTATTGCCGTGCTTGTCTGCCACGATATCTTTTAATCCGTTCGTCTTACTGACATTCACTATATCTTCTATTTATCAGGGTCGTGATCGACTGGGGGACAAGCCTTTGTTTGTCCTTGTGCAATCATCTGTTGATGCGCATGATCATCATTAGAGATCTCTCAAGGATGGGGGAAGAGGTGGTGAAGGAACGAGTTGGATGGCAGAGTAAAGAAGGTGTTTCCTTTAACAATAAACGATTTGGCTGCGAGTTTGATGATTTCTGGGTAAACAAGATTGATTCGAGGTTAACATAGTTGATTGAACAGAATGAATGGGATGAATGAATTAGAAGAGGCAGCCGGTTTGAAACTGTCTTCCTGTAGCTTATTATCATACCCGTTTGTTTCAAGAAAGTAGGATGCAATAGGCTGCTTATTGTATCAAAGGCTCAAAGCCATAATATTATTAGATGCTTGGCTCATCTCTTAGACACTGCAATCTTTTGCTCCATGCTCCCTTTTTCTCTCTCATCATTGAACCTAAACCTAAACCACTCAAAAGGAGCACACAAATGAGCAGATGAGCTGCTTTTTCACCTCATCGCTGAACTGATCATCCGATTTTGTCCAACTCACCATTGTTCAGTGTGTAACCTGCGGCGAAAGTGTTAGCGGATTATATCGTGGATTGTACAGGCCCATTTATTTCTCTCGTGCAGCCCATTTATTGTGCCCAATGAAGTCCCATGAAGCCCATGCAAGAGCTGCTCGTGTACGTGGAGAAGAGTAGCTCTAGGGTTGGTTTTTGTGTGTTCCTGCGGGTTGTATATAGCTTGAATGAGGGTTATGAGCGCTGTACAGAAAACATTCCAATAAGATCAGTAGCTCGAAGAGTTTTCACTCTTCCGTGGATTAGTCCTGGATTCTCCAGGGATACCACGTAAATCTGGTGTTTAGTTCTTGATTTCCTTTCCATTTTCGTTCAGTTCATCATCACCAAATCCGGATAATCTATCATGGTATCAGAGCATACTTCGTCAATGGATTCTGATCGACCTTCTGTTCGGCTCACCTCAACAAATTTCGCTCTCTGGGAATTTCAATTCCGGGTCTTCGTTGAAGGGCGCGGCCTCCTGAGTTTTCTTGATGGTACCTGCCCTCGTCCTCTGCCTACTGCTGCGATCCAGGAGCAAGCCCAATGGAACCAAAGCGATGCTCGTGTCCGCCATTGGTTGCTGGGATCTGTCGATCCATCAACATGTCTGAGTCTGCGTCTATTTCCAACGGCGCACGCGATGTGGGAACACCTAGCTGCAACATATTCTACCGTCAATGTCGCACGGCAGTTCGAGATTCAGATGGCCTTGGCTCGGCTGGAGCAAGGAGATAAGTCCATCACGGAGTACTACAACGCTGCAACTGAACTATGGACGGAACAGGATATCCTCACTGCTGCACTTCATCCTCAACCTGCCACCGCCGACGCTATCAAGGAACGGCAACAAACCCGACTGGTGAACTTCCTCATGCGCTTACGCCCTGAGTTCGAAGCCGCGCGCTCCACACTGCTGAACAGGGACGATTTGCGTTTTGAGGGCCTGCTATCTCACTTAGTTCGCGAGGAAACAAGAATTCGCACTCAAGCGAATATTGACATTCGCCCTGGTGCTGGAGAAACGGCGCTGGCTGTGATGAATCAAGAAGCTGCTTATTCGGTAAATCGTCCTTCATTTCATAACAAGCCTGTTCCTAATGATATTGAATGTCATTTTTGTCATGAGCGAGGGCATCCCAAGAAGCATTGTCGGCAGTGGAATGTTTGCGTTTATTGCAAACGAGCTGGGCACATTATACTTGAGTGCCGAACTCGTCAAAGGAACGAGGCTAGAGCTGCAGGAGGTGGGTTTGACTACTCACGATCTGAACGAGCTAACAATAGCTCAATAGCAAGGCCCTACAATCACCGAGCAGCTCGTCCACCGACTGGAGAGCGTACAGCTCATGCGACAGCCCTTGCACCTGGGAATCAGCAGCTTGATCTCGGCAGCAGTAGTGGAGCGAGTCTCTCGGCAGCGGATGTCGAACATATGGTCAATGCTGCTCTGCAGAGGTCGTTACCTACAGCAATTAGCGCTGCCTTCGCTACATTGAATACCTCAGGTAATGCTTCTCCCTGGTTGCTCGATTCTGCTTGCTTCAATCACATGACAAATGCATCGCGTAGCTTGAGCAATGTTGTTCCCGTAAGAGATATGTCATTGAATGTTGCAAATGGTGGTAAGCTAAGTGTTCAAGGAATGGGATTGATGCATAAACAGAACTTGACGTTGCCTGACACTCTACATGTTCCTGGTTTAGTTCCGAATTTAGTGTCAGTGGGACAACTTACTGAACAGGGTTGTTCTGTTTTGTTTGCACCGTCGGGATGTGTTATACAGGATTTGAAGACGGGGAGGCAGATCGGAAAAGGGAGTAAGCAGGGAAGAGTTTTTCACCTAGACGAGCTTCGTGGGAGTCCAGTGTCATCTTCAGCTTTTGGGTCGTGTGTCAGTAGTCCTTCTTTGTCATTGTCAAAACAGTTTTCTTCTTGTGATTCGGCTGGGTCTGTTTCTTTTTCAACATTATCAAATAATGTCTGGGATCTTTGGCACTCTAGATTGGGTCATCCAAATTCTGCTCGTCTTGAAATGATGTTTCGACAGTCTCTTCTTGGCAAAAATCGTGTTAATTTTTCTGCTCCTCATTCCTGCACTAGTTGTGTTGAAGCCAAAACGATTAATATTTCATATCCCTCGAGTACGACAGTAATTACTGATCCCTTTCACATCATTCATACTGATCTCTGGGGACCAGCCCCTACCATTTCTCGTCGTGGTTATCGGTATTTTGCTCTTTTCATTGATCATGCCACGAGATTTACTTGGGTTTATTTCCTCCGTCTCAAATCAGAACTCAAAGCTGTCGCTACTGATTTTTTGAAAATGATTCAAACCCAGTTCGATCGTCCCGTCAAAATTATTCGTTCTGATCCTGGTGGTGAATTCAGTTCACCTCCGCTGTTTGAAGTTTATCGATCTCTAGGTGTTTTAACTCAGCAGTCCTGTCCTGGTATTTCTCAGCAAAATGGTTTAGTCGAAAGAAAAAATCGTCATGTCATGGATTTAACTCGTGCCCTTCTGTTAGCATCTCATGTTCCTGGTCGTTTCTGGCCTGAAGCAGTTGCCACTGCTGTTCGTCTCATCAATTACCAAATCACTCCCATTCTGCGAAACACAAGTCCCTTTTTTGCTCTCTACTCTCGTCACCCTGATTATTCCCGACTCCGTGTTTTTGGATGTTTGTGCTTTGTTCTTCTTCCAAAGCGTGAACGTACCAAACTCACGTCAAAAACAGCTCGGTGTGCCTTCTTGGGATATAGTGACATACACAAAGGGTACTTGTGTTATGACCCTCTTGTTCAACGTGTCCGGATCGCCAGTACTGTCATCTTTTTTGAAAACGTCATGTTCCACTCCCCTGAGTCTTCTTCGGCTGATTTTCTTCCTGTCAATCTTCCTCCTCCCACGTTTGCTGACGAAGTGGATGATGAATTTCTCCCTGCTATGGATCCTCCTGATCCTCCCTCTCCGGATCTGTCTCCCACCACGTCAACGGCTGCCTCGTCGTCACCAAATTCCTCACCACCAGCTGCTGCATTGTCTTCCTCATCGCCTACTGCATCGCACTCTCCCTCACCAGCTGCATCGTCCTCTTCATCCCTTGCTGCTGCGCCCAGCTCCAATACCGACTCCATCACCATTTCTTCGGCCAACGCCCCAAGTCCATCTCCTCATGCAACCCAGCCAGCTCCCCGTCGCTCTGAACGGGTCACCAAAGGAGTTCCGCCACCAAAGTTTAATGACTACCTAGCCTATGGAGTCGAGTCTATATCGATTCCTACTCGTTATCGTCAAGCCAAGGGCCATCCTTTGTGGGAAGCAGCTATGCGTCGGGAATTGGAGGCTCTACATGCTAGTAATACGTGGACTCTAGTTCCACGTCCACATTCCTCTACTTCAGTGGTCGGATGTCGTTGGGTCTACACTGTCAAAATGAACCCAGATGGTACGGTGGATCGGTATAAAGCTCGACTAGTTGCACAGGGATTCACCCAGGAATACGACATTGATTACAGTGAGACGTTTGCACCGGTTGCTAAGATGGCGACAGTTCGTACTTTATTGTCTGTAGGGATGGCAATGGGGCGGGTTTGGGGCGGGTTTGCCTAAACCATCCCCATCCCCATCTTCAAATACCCAAACCCATACCCGCCCCATACCCATGCGGGGGAATATTTTGCAAACCCATCCCCATACCCGTGGGTTTCGGGTACCCATGGGTAATACCCATCCCCGTACATCCAACATTATTATACCTAAAACTTACAAGAAAAGTTTTAATTATAACCATAAACAAACCTATTATATCACGAAGTCAACAAAACACGGTCATTTTCTAAATACGATTCAAAAAATATGATCCTAAAACATCCATTAATACATAATATATACTATAATATTTTTTAAATTATTATGCTCTAACTCTTGATACATTTACTAAGTAATAATTAACTAACATAATTTTGTTGACAAGGGGGAAATGAAAGAGTGGAAGGAGAATTGAGGGAAATGAATTAGGTTTTGATTAAGGTGGTTACTCAATTGCATTTCTACTATTTATTTTCTCGAGTTATCATCATCATCATTGATAGATTACAATTTAATCCACGTACTTTTTGATATGTGAAGAAATTCTCTTGGTGGGGCGGGTATGGGTATGGGTATGGGGCGGGGGAGGCTATAACCATACCCGCCCCATACCCATCAAACTTTTTGCGGGTTTTACCCATACCCGCCCCATACCCGGTCAAAGCGGGGATTCCCCGCGTTGACTGGGTATGGGGCGGTCGGGTACCCGCGGCCATGGGTTTGATTGTCATCCCTAATTGTCTGTTGCTTCTCTTCGTCAGTGGCCCTTATATCAGATGGACGTTAAAAATGCGTTTCTGCACGGAGATTTAGACGAGGTTATTTACATGGAACCACCTCCGGGATATCCTCTTGCTTCTCCTGATCAGGTTTGTCGACTGAATCGCTCCTTGTACGGACTCAAACAAGCACCCCGTGCTTGGTTTGAGAAATTTCACACCACTATCTAGGAATTGGGTTTTCAGTAGAGTCGCAATGATCCATCCCTGTTCACTCGCACTACAGCAGCTGGGGTTGTTGCTCTTCTTTTATACGTCGACGATATGGTGATCACGGGGTCTGATCCTGCTGGTATTCAACGTCTAAAAGAGGGTCTCAATGCCTCTTTTAATCTTAAAGATCTGGGTGAGTTATCATATTTTTTAGGCCTGGAGGTTACTCGTGATTCTCGCGGAATTCTACTCTGTCAGCATAAATATATCACAGACTTGTTGGATGATCATCAATTTACAGACTGCAGACCGGTTTCTACACCTATGGAACTCAATCTACGTCTTGGCCGAGAATCTGGCACGTTATTACCTG